AATTTGTGTAACCCATGTGCATAAAAATTTAACGCCGGTCAACAGCTGGAATGCAAATTCAATAAATATAAATACCGGATAAAAGTTACTACGCATATCGGCGGATTTACGGAATTGGGCCTTTTTTTAAGACCCCAAATTTCATATAATTTTACAAGTTAAACCATCAATTTTTGTAAACAAACGTATTTTGGTGACCATTTTTAGGGTCCAATTTCAATTCCGTAAATCCGCCGATATGGATACCATAGTGTTCTAATCCTAGTAAGGCGCTATCGCGCTTTACTAGCATTATAACACTATGATACTGTACCCTACCAGTATTTGCAAATGCGCATATTCAGTGCTTAAAATCGACCAATCAAATCGCATACAGCAAATACCTCAGTTATAACTACAATTTCAAATTCGCCTATATGATATATGTAGTAAATCTGTATTACTGTGATTCTCTTATTTGAAGGCGTAATTTATACAATATAATTGGTTAATTATACTTCTATAGCTATTATTACTAGTAATAAAGATATTTTTAATTTACTTTTTATTTTTTATTATATATAGTATATATATATATATATACTGTATATTATACACGTTTACTAATTACTAGTTACAAAATGAGTCAACATCAGTTATATACATATTAACAGCAAATATATTTTAATATAAAAAGATACTATAATTGTAAAATTATTTATATTTGTAGTTACCCTGTATGAATTAATTATTCACTTATTTACACGAATATTCTAATATTCTAAATGAAAGAATTATGATATCTAACGCTAGTATTTAGTTAAGTTTTTGTATCACATGATCAAACAACTATCAATTTTATCAATTTTATTAGTTAGGATGAAAATATTTGTGTTATAACTAAATAATTGCATCATTTTATTCGTAAAAAAGTAGTTTTTGAAGCATTGGACATTTTATGAAAGAATTTTCAATTTAAAATAGTAATTCATTAAATCATTAAGAAAATGATTTTGTAAATGATGCAGAGAACCAATAGCATACAACAAAAAGGATAATTTTAAAAAAAGATACCTGATGCAAACTTTAATGTTAGCATAAATTAGGCATATTATTTACGTAGCAATTAGAAATTTGCGTCTAGTGACTTTATTGACTTTATTACACGCTCTATAAAAAAAATTGGCTAAAACAAATACAGTATATACAATATACTGTATTTGATTTTACCAACGTTAAAAACGATTGTGCCATTCCTAAAATTTCCGACGTAGACAGAGTGAACGAGCAAGGTTAAAAGCTAATTTTTAGGAAATTCCGACTAACCAACTAAGCCAACTAAGCCAATAAATTTATCAGCTTAGTAATAGCCGATAAATAATGATCTTCCAGAATTACACTAAATTTAACATTGCGAAGGTGGAATTCCTTCTAGATATGGTGATAAACTAAAGCGCTAAACTTATTTAAAAATATCCTTTTAATGTCAGTAAATTCATTTGCAATAATCGAGAGGTATAAAAAAAAAAAGCATTTCATAGAATGTTCATAGAATGTTACCCGGAGAAACATTGATAATCAGCTATTTAAGAGGATCAGCATATTTATTGTACAAATGTGTATTTCCTTTTTAATGCTCTATCATTTAAACACATTACACAAAGGCCACTCCTTGTCATTATCCTTCTTGGCGTGGCAACCATTTTTAATAAGATCATTTATTAATATGTTTATTTTTTTCAGATGGTATGGATACTACACACCAGTGTTACTACTTTATCGTAATGATCTGGTGTGGCGTGGCGTATAGATCATATCGGTGTGGTATGTTTTATACACATAAGTCACTCTAATATATACATATTAACAACCCTGATAATATTTAATGCTGTTTTATAGCATAGCGATTTATTGAAATTATTTATATTAGCGGCGTTTCAAGCTGTAGTACTATTGTACGAAGTTTATATTGCTCCGATGTCAGTTTTACGTCAACTCACTACAAAGTCAGCTGACTGATCAAAAAAATATCACCAACACCAAGGATATTTAGACGTTACTGTAAAATAGGTGATACTTGTTATCATAAAAAAAATATTTGGCAAATATTTACTTTTTTTATTAAAATAAAAAAAAATTCTTATAAGAATTCCACAATTAGCATGCATATAAGTAAATAATCAAGATCATAAGCATATTAATTTATATTATTATTGAACGTGCTAAATAAGTACGTATCTGATGTAACATTTTTCTTTATGTCGATAAGATAAAGTTACTAGTAATAAAAAAAAATTTTTTTAGAATATTTTACTCAGGTTCTCATGATAATGCATACGCTTATTCTAAAAAAAAATAATGTGGAGTAAGAGCTTTTCCCCTTAAAAATTTACCAGTTTTACATTTATACATTTATCGATAAAAAAAAAAAAAAAGAAAAAAATTGGTTTTTTATTATATGGATAATATAAATAAATATAAATAAATTGATTCAAAATGTTAATTTTCAATATCTATCGGATCAGAATTTTCATAATGAATCTATGTGCCTATCACATATTGCAGATAGACATTTTTTAACACGTACATTAATATGTACGTACGTACGTACTTATTTATCAATTTAAATTATGTTTAATATATACTGATCAATAAAATAAATTTATATTAAAATAAAAACGTGTTCAAATTATTATAATACAAGTTTATATATATATATTATTATAATACAAGATGACGCGATATTCTTAATTTCTCGCGAAAAATTGATTCAATAACGAACAATAGTAGCAGGCGAAAATCATATTCAATAACATTTCTAATTTCCTCAACATAGGAATCTTTATTATTTCTTTATTCACCTTATTATCGCAAAAGATTATTTCTTCCTCCCAGTTAAATTACCATTATACAATGCAGAATGCTAAACTAAATGAGATTTTTAAAATTAAAAAAAAAAGGAATGATAAATGTTCAAGAACGTTAATTTTTCGTAACGAACCACCAGTTTATCCACCATACGAACAAATTGTAGAACCCTATAATGATAATCGTAATAAAATGATGATGACATTTCATTATGCAGATCTCAATAAATCGATCAAGAATTTTTTTTTTAATATACAAGTTTCTTGATCATTAATTTGGAGTACGGCATCTTGTTAAAACGGCAAGGAGAATTTTTTTTTTTTTTTTTTTTTTTTCTACGTAAAAAATAATTACTAAGAAAATAGGGATGTATTATAGGTTCTACGATCATTGGAATACTTTTTACAAAAGGTTTTTTTTTCAATTCAGAGAACGACCCTGCGCATTAATCCCACCTATCCGCCTGCGCGTCACATCCATCCTACTTTCGTCGTCCTCAAACCCTGATCATAAAAACATTCCTTTTTTACGTCAAAATAAAATAAAAAATAGAAATAGATAATTTTGTTTTTATATAGCTACATGAATTGATAATAATTATATAATTGAATGCACGATTTTTTTTATTTTTTCTTTTTTTATTTTATTTTTATCCTAATATAATGAAGAATGCTTTAAAATGATGCTGTACGAATTTCCCTTTATTTGCCATTCATATTAAAAATTTATAATAAAGTAACGCTTCTAGTGAAGACATTACGGGCAAATTAAGTACAAAAAAAATTCGAAATACCAACTATCATTTCCTCTGCATTCAAAGCATAAAAAAATCTTTGAGACATTGACCATTTGAGCTTTTTTTAAGTCATAACTGGTGGTGAACCACTATAGAAGCAATATTGTTTTACAAGTTCACAATAAGAGCTTGATCCAATTGCAGGTCTTGCTGAAGGTATAGCGATTGGATTTGAAGCAGTGTTCAACTTTTCGAAACCAAGTCCAATTCCATTAGGTGAATTTTTTTCCCATGATGCCTTATCTGTTGGTTCTTTTGTTACTGGCATACCATCAATACAATTACCAGGGAAAAATGCCGAAAAGCTCTCATTGCAATAATAAGATTGTTGTTGATAAGTACGATTAGTGTTGATAGGATTAGGTCTGATAGTGCTAGCTGCTATCAACGAGAGGCCAATGTCATAACGGCCACCCATAGATTTTTTTATGGTCAATGAAGTTGATGATGAATTCATGATAGGCGGGGAACGAACTGGTGGTGATTCTTCAAAATTCCTTGCACAATTAGTCGGAGTTGACCATTTAGAGGAAGTTGAAGGTAGTGATTTCGAATTATTGTGCTTTTTAGATGATACTAATTGTGATGACGAAATCTCCTTTCTCCTAAAGTTTACTTGATAGTTTGATCCGTTATTGTTATCCCAATAATCACGATCATTAACTATATAATGAACCGCGAAATACATAGTTTTGCCATCAATTTGATTCCTTGAATTATCGATTAGGTCTATGGCAAAGACGAACAGATCAAAACTATTCTTGTTATCTTTATCTCTATCTGGGGCACCTTCAGCATAAGTGGCTGATACCTCCGACACCGATTGCCAAAAATCAAATGTATACCTAACCCCAACACTCTTTTGGAAGGCTATATTTTGAACTTGAACACGACCTTTAAGTTTTCGTTTATCTGGAGACAAATAGATCGCATCAACAAATACTGGTTTTGATCTATGAGCTGTAGTTATTAAGGGCATATTTGGAAGTGTTATTAAGAGTTCATCGTCCTTATTCTTATTATTAATATCATCGTCTTCATTGTCACTGTCCAAGTCTGACATTGAAAGGTCAAAATCTTCGTCATCGGATTCATCCGAAGATACTTCAGCACTAACTGCCCGTGGCTTTTGGGCTCCCCTGAATAATTTGACTTGTTCTAAATCGGTATTAAAATGTACGTATTTTGGGAAAGTGGGGGTCGTTGGTTCAGATTTACCCTTTTTAAGTGATGATTTAACTACTTCACCACTTTTTTTCCTAGGTAAATAAGGAACTTCAGATGAAATTGGAGTAAGTAAACCGACTTTGAGAGATGGGAGAGTTAATTTTTTTGTATATGATTCAGGTGCTGATTTCCTTCTTGGGGACGATGATATTTGAGGAGAGGTAGATAATATATCTTTAACTTGTTGAATGGCACTATCACGATCTAATTCATCTGATTTATTTTTAAAAATAAATTTTGGTTCAGATTTCTTTTCATTCATTGCCTTATTCGTTGTCTTATTCGTAGTCGTATTCGTTGAGGAGGTAGAGATAGACTGACTTGCGAACGAATGATTAATGGCGTTCGTATTTAAATCATCTTGTTTCTTTTTTGATATTCCAAAGGTTATTTTTGCCAAGGGCCACCCGCGATAATTTTGGTTGCCAACTGGAGCAGTGCCTTGATCCTGTTTATTGAGCGACTTGGGTGGTACGAAAGGCATGGTGGATAAAGATAATATCAATATTATTTATCGATGGTCTAAAGAGAATGAAAAAAGATAGAAGGTAACTTATTAGCGTCAAATTATATATTTTGTAATAAATGCGTCTATACGATTATCGTAAAGAAAGAAAAATATAAAGGGATGTTTTTAATTTATGAATGTGGATGATAATTAAACATAAAAAAAAAAACGCGCTTTGAAAGTATAAAATCCGTACTAGGAATTTATACGATAAAAAAGAGAACGATTTTACGTTCATAAAAAATATTTTAATATATAAGCAAGTGAATACTCGCTTAAAATGAGATTCACTATATTATAAAAAAAAATAATTATTTCTTAATGAAAAAATGAAAAAAATTTAAGGGATTCTTTTTTTATTTATTATATGTATAAAATAAATTTATATGTAAATTTTTTTTTTTTGAAAAAAGTCGATGAAAAGTAATGATAGCAAATATTAAAAGAAATTGTATTTATTATCTAGCTCTGGAAGAGCTTTTTTTTTTTATTGTCTAGGAAAAGAGATGTGATTATTTTACCTTAGAGAATTCGTCTAGTGACTGAAGGGCCGAGAAAAAAAAAAAAAAAAGAAACGACTAAAAAAGCCGAGGTTTTTATACACTTGATTAATAGATAGTTGATATTGATAAATATATATAAATAAATATTAATTTATACAGTATTTACTATATCCATTATTGTATCTTCAATATATTTTTATATACATGTACACAAAAAAAATTTTTTTTTATATATGTTATTAATCGCTAATATATGAGGTTGTTATCATAGATATCGCGTTCCTGAAATGGAAAAAAAACTTTTTGGATTGATTTATATATACACATTCAAATTTTAAAATTGTTATTAATAATCACATACATCATTGATATCATTATCTCACTGGGATTGAATTTTCATTATATCATGTAGATTATTCTTTATCGATTCATTTATACAAAGAGATAGGATGATAACAGCAATTTTTGCTTCGCTTTTCTCAAACAATCAAAACTTGCTATGTACGTAAGATAGATGACAAAGATTTCACGTTATTTTTGATGAGAAAGATATGAAAACCCATTTAAAAACTTGAAACAAACCAATTTGTATATATTAGACTTTAATAAATAATATATATTGAGAAATAGCCTTAATCACGTGATTACCCTTAAATATAGTATTCAAAAAAAACTTCACTGTTTAGCGATTCGATTTTTACTGTTGTCCAACGAAGAGAAATCATTTATCATGGATAAGGCGTTTTTGGGTAAATATAATTTTCAAATTTACGTTGTTATCTTTGAAATGACGGTGTTACCGCAGGAAGATTACTAATAATATTATTATTTGTGTATATTTATTTGATGATACAGTAACTTTATTGCTCAAAAAACACTTATCGTTTATTATAAACATTAGTGAGGCGCTAACATTTTATTACGCAGTTGTGTCTGTTTTAGAACCAGGAGCTACTTGTCCGGCCAAGTTTCTTTAAACATTATCATTACGCAGGTTCACACACACACATATCACTTATGTGACACTTTCTTTCGTGAGAAAGACAACATTAAATAGTAAATCGGATCTTCCGAACCGGAATCAAATTTTCCGAAGATTTTCAGCTGTTTTAAATTCTAGGACAAATTAAAAATTTATTCGTTTCCTGAAATCTCTTAGGTCTAGTCTTAAAAGAATCACTTAACACCTAACTCTTCAAAATTACATCTCTATCTCCAGACTGTGCTTCTGAAGATAGTGATATAGTATCCGTAGAATTTTGTGATTCTTAAGATGAAATCGAAGAGATTTCGGAAAATAGCAAATTTTTATTTTCCTAAAATTGAGAATGGTTAAACATATTCGGTCAGCGTAAAACAATGGCATATTATTCACCAAGAACCTGTGCTTCGTCTTACCGATAGACAAATAATATACCAATTTTCAGAGGGCAATAATATAGAACGTAGAAATGAGATCATACAGAAATGAAGCCACCACTTTCATTCAGATCGTCGAGAAATTTCTGACTATAACAAGATCCTAAGTTTTAGGTATATTAAACGCCAATATACTAATACGAAATCAACCACAATTATCTTGGCCACAATAATTTTACCAGAAACGAAATTAGGAATATTATTACGTAGCTCATTAGGCTTTATTCTTATTATAATTAAATAATGCAAGCAAGATCAACTGATAACAACATTACGCCACATTTACCTATATTCCGGAGAGTTTTTCGACAGCAATCATTGCCTTATTTAACAAATATCTTAATTTTTACGTCACTTGTCTAAGGAAAGATTTCCGGCAGTAATCATTGCACAAAGTTACGTCACTTGTCTAATATTATGATCTAATATATGTAATTATATGATAGGGCGTTAAACCAACTCAGACTCGCGTTTAGAAAATGCATAGGAGTGATGATGCCTGATGTTTCCAGACTTTTCTTGGTGTCATTATATGTTTTGGGGACCAAAAGTTGTCCTGCATTTTAGAATTCTATCAAGAATTGTACTTAAAATTGGGCATTTGGAGAGTCGATTACGTACAACAGTCCTTTCATGAGCTAACCTTTAAAATTACAAGTTCATTAAAAAAATGAAATTTAAGTAAGGTGTATCAAGAATAGATGAATTTTCTTTTGACGGTTTTTTCATTATTTTAATTATCACTTTAGAATTTACCATGATCTTATTATAAGATCCTTCTTAGGAAAGGCAGTAATCCATCTAGTGTAACTACAAATCTAACGATCATATTTTTTTAAAATTGCGGCCTTTTGAAACCATTTTTTTAATGAAACTTTTTGGCATTGATTTTCAGGCGGGAATTCTTTTGTTTGACGAAACAGTTCAGTGTTCGATATTATCGTATGCGTAAATCAAATTTGTGTTGTTTTACATTCTAAATTGATTTAACAAATTAGGAAATATAAATGTACAGAAGAGGTGAGTGGATTTTTAATCTTAAATTTTGCATTATCTTTTATATCAAATTTATAAATTATTTGTTTGTTTAAAAAAAAATTCCACTTACACTTATCCTTTCATTTATATTAAAAGATTATGAATAAGGAACAAATCAACTAACAAGATGGAAATGTTTAATTTAATTAGCCAAATAATGCTAAGTAGAGGCCTTTGTCGATATTTTGACCATAGTCCTTGCTTATTTTACGGGGTTCAACCTATGCATTTACTCAGTATATATCGATATAAATATAATTAAAATTTAAATATATAACTTACAATTCTTTTATAGTGAAGTGATTGATTGGTCCGTTGACTAACAATTCGGTGCTACATCTATTGATCAAATTCACTATCTGCTATATCGAATGGTCCACTATACCGAGAGAATTTTTAATATAGATTGATTTTTTAAGCTTAATCTCACTATATCGAAGAATCTAAAACAATGATGAAAAAATAATACAGTATGAAACAACTTATAATATTCAACTATACGCAAATGCACAAAAAGTTCTGGCTAACACTCTCCCAGCGTACCATTAAATGTACTCCCAATGCATTAGCCCCTTAAAAATAAAGCAAAGGTTAGCGGTTAAAAAAATCGACGGATCTCTGTCATAATGCTACAGAATTTGGGATATTCAATTTCATCAAATACAATAGAAATAATATGATGTGCAGCAAAAAAAAAAAAAACAAATGAAAAACTTGTTACGATCAAGAACATTAAGGAAAATTTAAATATGTATCACAGGTATTTGTGATACTATTTTTAATTTAAAAATTTTTTCCAGTTAATTCTCAAATAGGAATATTTTCATATGAAAATGGTGCGTACTTTATTATGTAAAATTGTATTATTAATATACCATCACATAATTATGGAGATGATGTTGAAATTGGCATATCTCATTGGTTTAAATTATCAAAATCGTATCGATTAATTTGACAAATTAATAACGTTTTATTGGTTATTTATAGTTACGAAAATTCGAAAAAAATTCTTTTCAGAAGTGAAAGGTTGATAATAAAGATATATCGATATCACCCGCATACCGATATTTCGGATTCGGATTCGGAGTTATTGTGGCGTCGCAGTAATTGATAACGATAACGGAATGGAACATTCATCAGATATTTCGATAACGATAACCGAAATGAATATTAGTTTCTATTATTAGCTCTTTCTCCGTGCTTCAATTATATGTTTCACCCACTATTTGTTATCTTTATTTTACATACATATCGACAAATAACCTATTATGGAACCAAAATCATATTTCTAAAAATTAGATTAATTGATTGGATAAATTCAGTACAATTGTAGATTTTAAAAGTTCTGCACAACATAATAATAAAGGTAAATTATATACAATATTTACTTTATCGTTATATTTTACAAAGCTTAATCATGTTCGCCTTATGCTGACGAGTAAATAAATTTATCAACTATCAATTGATAATCAATAAATATATATATAGATATATATAGCCAATTATACCAGCCCCAAACGTTTTCACAAGCTAATAAATTTTTGCTGAGATAGGCAAGCTCATCATTTAATATTTTCACATAAATAATCTATTGTTCTTTATGCATTTTTCTATGATTGTAAACGGTTTAGTGTATCTGCATATCTTTGCATATTTCTCCGCATCCACGCAGTTTACTTTTTGGGTTAAAAAAATAAAATGCTCATAGTTTGTGATTTCCGGTTTTTTTTATTTATTTATTAAAACTGAGTATTTTCTTTAACGAAGAGTAATGTTTATCGTTATATAGTATAATATACAAATCTGCTATTTTGAATGGGACAATGTAAAATAATGCATTTTTATAATGTGGAAAGCCATAATTTCTAAATATTGATTTCTTGTGAAAGTCAAAAATTCTTTTTTTCTTTTCGTCTTGATTTTATAAATAGGCTTGATCAAAAAGGATTAACTTGTATCATTATTGCAGAATTTTTTTATTTTTTTTGTTTACTTGATATTTATTCTTTTTTTTTTAATTATTATTATTTAAATTATAAGCAATTATTATTACAAAAAAGGCTGAAATTTAAACAGAAAAATCACAAAGATTATTGTATATCACAAAGAATAAAGGTAAATTGGCAAAAAAGTACCGTATTCCTCCGAAAATAATAACTGCAAAATTTGGCCTGAATTATAACCATCTTGGCCAACATTAAGTTCAAAAAAGGAGAACTTATTTTCGGAGGAATACGGGTATTTTTTTTTCAAATACTATGTTTGAACTAATTTTTGCATAATTGTTTACTTATAATTTTATTATCATTATATTAGAATTAGCTATTACCAAGATAGAAATTGAACTGATTTCTTCGATTATCCTGTTTGCAAAATGTATGACCAAAAAAAAAAATGCGGGGTAAAAACAAATCCGCACAAAGAATATATTATAAGTAATATAATTCACCCGTGTAACCTCTTAGTATCCTATCAACGATACCTATCAAGCAATAATGAACTTCTGAATGGAGCATAAAAGAATAAAATAAAACTAATAAGAATTTTTTGAGATTACAGATATGCAAATCTGATCGTGATAAAGATCGTGGATTCCCGCTACATCAAATTTTTTTTTACTAGATACACAACGATAAAGATTGCAGAAGCTAAGGAATTAGAAAATATGAACAATCATGTGAACGTTTGATTCGTCAATAATCAAGGTACTAACCGATAAATATACTTAAATTCTAGGCCTATTCTTTCAAAATTGATAAGAGGCTCATTGAAATTGAACTACATAGTAGATCAAAAAAAAAAGGATCTAACCATTATAGTAATAAGAATAATAATAGTTTTATTGTAAGGAAGTCACAACATTTAATTAAAAAAGCCCAAACAAAAAGTAACACTATGTGGGAAAAAAAATAAATCTGGACTAAAATTAGAGAGAACTCGTTTATAAATTCCGTCATTATGATTTAATATAATATTTATTCTTTGTTTGAAAATTAAAGAGCTAAATTACGAAATGCGACACAGAAATTACACATGACTTTGGCTATAACGACATCTGTATAAACCGACAGGTGGCTATAACGACATTTTCTTAATTTCAAACCTTATATGAAAAGCGCCTCTTGCTAAACTGAGCTGGATATATTGAACAATTTCTATTTATTGGGGTATAGATATAACCAGATTTTGTGTAATAATGATATATACTACGTATTAGAAAGCTAAATTGGTACTCATTAAAAGACAGTATAATTTTTTAAAATTTCCTGGGGATTCAGATCTTATGTATATATTTTCAGGGAGTTGGAATAGTTCATCTGATCACTGACAAAGAATATATATTAAATTTTGAGAATTACGTACGTACGTAAATGTTCATAACGATAAGTATGTGTGATTTTTAAACCTATTATAGATGACTTTTTTTTGATAGACTCAATAAGGAAAATATTGTTGGTATTCATGGGCTTAAACTTCCTTATCATACTATAGTCAACATTACTGCGAGATAACACATCTTGAAAGACAAATGGTAGAGGCTTTATAAAGGGTATAAGAAAATATTGGTTAATCAATTTTTAACTACGGTATTTAGAAAGGGAACAAATATAATCTATCCAAAACCGTGCGGTAGTTAAATGTAAAAATATTTACTTAGCATTATGAATGATCACGATTCGACTCACTAGCATCTTTGAGTGAAAAATACTATAAGAAATTCATGAAAATCAATTTTTTTAATTCAAGTTGGACTAAGTCATTCAGGCTTGATTGAGTCAATTCTATGATCGAAACTGAGGGAGATTATCACATGGTTTGGGTAACAAGAATTCTTATCATGTATCTATTTACCGTTACATACTGTAGATTAAGTTTGATTGTTTACTCATTATTACAATCCACCGGAAACCTGGTATGTGGGATTCATTAAGAAATTTTGATAGAAGGCTTGGCTGCATTATAAGATAATCACTTATAAAACCGGGCTGACAATAACGATAACGATAAGGATGAATGATCCAACTACGGATTCCACAAACCCTGCAGATTCTGGTCATAAATATAAATCGGACCAATTATTCAATTACGGATTCCGAAAACTCCGTGTATCAGAATTTATGCAATTGCAGAATTCTGAACATAGCTTCGATGTAAAAAAGTTAATGTATATGCGCAATGTGAATATTTTTTACGATAGTTTCCATTAACATTAGAGGGAAAGGTCAATTGTGTGAATTGCATTTTAACACATTTTGACTCACAATGTCTCATACACAGCCGCTTACACTATGTCATTTTTGTGGCAATCTTCACTGTCTCATTCCCATCGTACAATAGTACAATAATTCGCTAAAAATTGTTATATAGCGATAGTTTTTCTTGTATGTGCATGTTATACAAAGTTAGTAATCTTCTCTAAACCCGAAAGGATGTTTGTAATGTTTAAAAAAAGTCAATTATAAAATTTAAAATACAACACTTAAGAGCTAATAATTATCAAATTTTGCCCTATGCACTGGCAATCATTTTGGCTTAACTTTATTTTAGATCTTCTAACGCTAACCTTTCTAGTTTTTAGCTCCGGTTGAATAATATCCGCAGAATTATTATGTAATAAACAGACACTGGCTTTTTTTTCCTTCTTCTTTTATGTGGGATTAGGAACGTTTTTATAAGTACTACGTAACACTATATGATTTATCCTGAAAAGTTAGGATTGGATTTCGACTTTTTTGTAACTGATATTAATGATTGTGATTCGACGCATTTGTATAAATTGGACTCAGTCTTTCAGTCTTTTTCACACAATCATGAGACAAATTTCAATATTTGTATATGACTAAGTATATGACAAAGTATTTTCACACAATGCTGGTGTTCCTCCTTAGTTGTTTAGCTACGAATTGAATCTCTTATCTGAAATCTAGAAATTTGCTTATAATCGTAACGATAGCAAGACAAAACATTATCGTTATCGGTTTATCAATATAACCAATCAGGTTTAATACACGTGTTAAACTATTCAGCCTCATTATTGAATCCGCGTTATCAGATATGGAGCGCGAAAACAAAAATTCGTAATTACAATATTTATATTGTGTGATTTATTATAAAGTTTTCTAAGATTATATTTATGTATAGTTCAATGATTTTATTGTAATTGTAATCAATATATTTTCGATTAGAAGATTAGCAATGAGATAGAAACGATACGAATGAAACACAGACTTTACTGGTTAAAATCTAACCAAATTAAATCGACCAACCAACATTGCAACTTTCAATATTCGCACGTTCAGGATTGTCCCCGCATTACAATGACAAATATAGTAAGCCATTTACGGTAAATTTTTTACGATAAATTTTCGAGTAAAACGTATTGTATTGTTTTTCGATTTGTGTATATATATTCCTTCAAATTATTCGGCGAATTGGCTTAAAAATGTAAATATTGTTAATCAAATACATCGAATATATAGCTGCAACGTTAAATGAATTGTAATTGTAACACGTAAACTTCTTTATTATGTAAAACAGATCCGTACTTACAGTACATAGCATAAGCCACAAAAACATAAGCGTGAAAAAAGGGTTGTCATTTTGCAATTATACAATATAAAGCTTTTTTTTTTACAACACGATGGTTTCGAAACATTGCAATTAAAATATTGTGTATGTAGCAAAAGTTTGGTTATCTTTTAATCTGTAGGCTATTTTGGTCAAATTGTTTGAAATTTCTTATTTTTGATTTATTTAAAAAAATTTTTTTTTATTCTCTTTTACAGTGCCTTTCTTGACCTGTTGCTCGGCTATATTGCTATATTGCAAATGAACCATCCATATTTGGACATCTGATTCGCTAATGTAACAGTCCTTGGCTAGGCTATTTATTTAAATTTTTGAAATAAAGATTATATAATTGTATATAATTATAATTAATTAAAAAATTTGATATAAATTAAAATACTATATTAGATACTGTAGTAATATATTACAATACTAGAATATAGTTTAAATATTTGATTAATTAAATTATTAAATTATATTTATCAAAAAAAATAATAACTTTAATTTTAAGCAAAGTACTTTGCTATTTACTATAGTAATTAAATAAATTTTTTTTTATTTAAATTTATCAAATTTGCAAAAATTAAATAAAAAAATTTATTTAATTTAATTAGATAAATACTGTATTAGAATATTTTGTTTAAAGTTTCAAAAAAATAAAACATATTATTAAAAATATAAATTATTAAAAACTTAAAGGCTCTACTTAGTAAAAGTAAAATTAAAATCAGAGGTTAAATAAATAGCTTTATAGTTGAATTGCAAATATGGCAACTAATATAGAACCTTCAAGTAAACTACTTTAAATTAGATATCAAAAATATATATACATTATTTAACATGTCTTGTATACACACTAGACATTTTTTATATATTATTTGATTATTTTATAATTATTTGATAACTTAATTTTTGATCACTTTATATTTAAAATTCTCAAATTTTAATCACTTTATTGAAGATATTATTTTTGCAAAGTTAAGTGCTTATTAATTTGCAGTTAATTATAAAAACAGTTACATTTAAAAAATTTAATTACTTTTTAGATTTATATTTAAATTATAATTTTTGTGAAGAGGTGCCAGGAGAAAGTTGAATAATGATATTATTAACTGCAAATAAAGGTTTTTAATGTTTTTTATAAGAAGCCAACAATGGTAAATTAGGAAAATAAGAAGGTTTGAAAGATGCTATTACAGAAGAATAAGGGTGAGATTTTAAGTTTGAAGGATTCGAAGTTTTAGCTTTATTTGTATTTTAAATTTGAGATAGAACTTGAATTGCTATAAAAACTTCATTTGCAAAAGATTCAAATTCTTGTATCAAAGGAACTTTAATTGTATATATTGAAGAAAATTTAGTTGTTTAAGCTATAAGAACTTGGTTTGCTTGTGCTTCATAAATTTGAATTGCTTGTGTTTCAGGAATTTGAATTGATTATACTTTAGGAATTTTAATTTTATAATCTAAAAAAAAATAGAAAATGTACAAATAAAAATTAATTATTAAATATTTTAAAATTGTAATAAGTTAATAAAAAGTATTAGATTTGAAGTATAATAAAATTGTATTAAAATATATATTTACCTTGTTCTACATCATTAGCATTTTCTTTCAAAATACTTTTGGAATATTCAAACTTATCTAAATCTAATTCATTAGATAAAAATGAAATTAACATTGCAGTATTAGAAATATGTTAATTGTTATTAAGTTTGCAATAATCTGCAAGGCTTTTATATAATTAATACTCTAAGAATATTTGTAAATCAAAATCTGAAAGTTCATTATTTTTTAATAATTAAATTGCAATATAATAGTATGAATAGTTTGTAATTTTTAATCTATTACTAAAATCAATACCTATATATATTGCAATATCATTTATTATTTTTTTTAACTTTTTATAACCTCTTTATACTAGTGCTCTTTTCAAAGATCTTTAATAATAATAGTTAAATTAGGAGGCTTCTAGAAATTATGTAATATTTTGTTATTAATAAATTTTAAAATTCATCCCCATCTACCCACATCTAATACTTTATTAGCCAATCAAATTGTATAAAAATTTAAATAATATTAATTAATAAAAATTTTTAAATTTATATAATTTTTGATCTATTAAACCAATTTGAATGATTTAACATCAAAATAATCCTCCTTAAAGAGAAGATTCTAACAAGCTCAAAATTATTAAAATCTACTTACAAAATCACAAGATAGATAATTTTTTGTATTATTTAAAGATATATAAAATAATACAAAATATTGTTTATTTTGTAATTTTGTAATGATTTTGAGCTTGTTGAAATCTTCTCTTTAAAAGGATCATTTTGGTAGTTAAATCATTAATTGATGATCCACCAGTCATCTGAAGAATGATTATAGTAGAATGTGACTCAGATTAGTATATAAATTTACTATAGTGCGAATATAGCGATCACCCAAGGTAAACTTTTTTCATACTAAGTTAATTACCTTTTTTGCTTAAGAGACTTTTGTAAAGCTTGTCAAACGCATCTAATGGTAGTTAGAACATCAAAATCGGCCTGGTGGGTGCTGAGATATCTTTAAAAAACCTCTCTTTTACTATGTAAATTTCTTTGCAAACAA